CTTCTGCTTGAAATTTCCTTTTCTAATTTTAGGCAGACACAACACACATGCATTTTATAAGAGTCTTATCTTTGTTACATGAGTATTGCATATATGGTAGGCAAAGATGGAATGAAATCTAAGTTTCTACAACCTTTTCATGATCTTTCTGAAGAAACCAACAGCCCTATCCAGTTTCTACACTGTTTTTGGCTACTAAAATAATATTAAGCAGTAACTGATGTTGATGTGCTGCCTGGACTCACCATGGAAATGGAAACCACAAATTGGAAAAGAAAGGGAACTGAACTTTATGAAGTAGCTGTATATTGACCATTCGAATTTAAACATCATTTGTTTTTAGTTTACCATAGAAAATGTTAACAAGTCACAAAATCATCATCTCAACCTTTTGGTATGTCAGAATAAAATCATTTTGCAAAAAGTTTAACTTGTCGTGTCACAACTTTTTTATAAAGAATTATTTCCAAGGGATATTCTCTGTTTTGGTTTTTATATCTTCTCATTCTCTGATAACATGTATGTGAATGTGTTGACTCATACTACAACTGTGACCCTCGACTCTGAACACTGTAAAGGATAAATGAATTGAAAAGGTTGCACAAGGATAAGGATCAGAAGGAACTTTATGTTGATAACAAGAAAGATGCTACTTCCAACCAAGTTGTTGGCTTGAATAAATAAAAAGGGCACAAAACAGATCCTTTTTGTATTATGACAACTACTAGTAATCAATCAGATGAATGTGTACTGAAAAAAAAAATGGAAGAGAAAAGCTTCCATGAAAAAAGTTGAGGGACAAAATGGAAATAAAGGATCTAAAAGGAAGGGCAGGAAACAAGTGATATCTTCTGATAGTGAAGAAGGTGATAACCAGGATGATAGTGGTGTGGATGGATTTGATTTGGGAGATGGAGGTGCTCTATGGGACATATTTAGAAGAGAATATTCGCCTAAATTGGAGAAATATCTCAAAAAACATTTCAAAGAGTTTAGACATATCTTTTGTCAACCAGTGGAGCAGGTGGTCCTTACTTTTATTTGAAATTCTTTAAGTCAAAGAAGTCACTTATTAAGTCCTCTTGAGCTTTAAGAACTTCATTTAGCCATGCATGAATGTAAAGTTAGCAACTTTACGCGATAATCCAACTCAAAGAAGTCAAATTTATGTTTTGGAGAAATGTCTTAAGGGATTAAGGGTTAAAAGTGAAAGGTGGCTGAATAGGAGGAGTACGTTGGGCGTACAAGCATGTACGCACAACGTACAAGCCACAAAGCTTGTACGCTTAACGTACAACTGAGTTCGCCCCGCGTACTCAGTCTCATGGGCTTTGCATTTTGGGCTTCGAGTTTGGGCCATTCTATTGGGCTTAGGTGCTTGGTTTCTTGTTGGGCCATTTGAATGTAAGTGTTTGGTTTAGGAAAAATGGTAAGCCTTGGGGTAAGGCCCATGTAAGGGTTTAGGCCCAATTTGGAAAATTAGGCCATGTTTGTGAAGGATTTTTAACATTCTAACACTCCTATGGTGTACATGCAACCCTAAATACATCGGATCTATGTTTTCTCTATTATACATGCAAACTTGAAATTTCCAAGGTATTACCCTAACTAGCATACAATCATTGATACTTGGGTAATATAAACAAGTTAGAAGACATACCTTTCATGTAGCTTGATTCCATGGAGCTTAAGAGCCTAGTGCCTCAAGTGTGACACCTCAAATGGTTCACACAACATCACCAACATCTTGGAATAACTTGAGATAAAAGGTTCCTATGCTCAAATCGGCTAGCCCTCATGTGTACACACACTAGTGCTAATTTCTTAAGCCATGGGGTCCTTATATATTGTGGCTATTAGGGTTACTCCATGTAACCCATTTCTTTCCATGTTCTTCATGATTCATGGGTTAAAACCTCCGTGGAGTATCCATGGGTTGCTCCATGGGTTTAGCCCAATATGAAGAACTATGGATCATAATCCCACATATATAAGAATTAATGATTTACACAATCAATCCCCATATATTTAATTAGTCTCCTTTTGATCACAATATTAATTCCAAATTAATTCTTGATCAATACTAATTAAATAATATGATTTCATGTTAATATATTAGAACTTATAATATATTAACAAATCATAAATATCCTTTTCTCAAAAAAGTCTATCCAAATTGTTCCGATGCCATGCAACCCAAATGGACTATGCCAATCGGGTCAAGTACATACCAATTGTAGTTATGGACTTAGACACTAATCCAACAGTCTCCACTTGGATAAGTCTAAAACTATTATTGCGTATGACTTCAAAACCCGACTAGCAATCGTAGCTCTTAAAAGCTGCTGTCGAACTCTGAACAAATCAATGACGAGGTCCATTAGATAAGGGATCATATATTCCTCCATTCTAAATATCATATGGACTGAGACATGGATTATAATCATTCTCTCTGTCCATTTGTTGTTTCCCGATTTCTGATTTATAACGACCGACTAATTGAACAAATCAAATTAGTCCAGGCTTGGCCAAGCACTTCGGGGTGTCATCACTAAATCATCGAGGGGCCCACATATATTGCTTTTATCCCTAAAAGGGTAAAAGGAATGGATAAACTTAGACTCATATGCTTGTTCTACCACTTGTTGAATCATACACAAAGGCACATTTTATAACATCGAGTTACCAATGCGTTTTCGTACAATCAATGTATAACCAACTCATAGGCAACAACTCATATCTATAGGTTTTAAGAATATAAGATATTATCGTCTCATGATCACTCGTGATAAAATCCATGAAGTGAGTCAAATGAGCGTGGGTTTAATCCAATACTTAGAACTTATGAGCACTCATGAATATTGCAACAACTCTTTCTATGTCCCATACCTTGGACATCTACAATCTAGCTTCATGACAGTCTTGATTCATATCTACTTCCAACATATGACCGACTGTGGATGGTTTGAATAACTTAGTCATTCAGGAGGAACGACCTAGTTATTCTGGAAGTCAAAACATGCAAAGTGAAACACAAGAATAATCGAATCCGATATGGTCTCAGAACTTATGAATATAAATAAAACACCTTTTATTTATCACCATATTGATTACCTATCATTCATTGCATACCGTTTCAAACTATCAACTTTATACTTGAATTAAAACAATAGTTGTCCCATGCTCCAAGCATGTACACTATGTTTTTTTAAACACTAGTCATGCCATACACCAAGTATGCACACTATGTTTGTCTAAACATTAGTTATGCCATACACCAAGTATGCACACTAAGTTTGTCTATGAACTTTACTTCGTGAACTAGATCGATTGAACATAATTCCAATGATTCTCATTTCACAATCCCAAATCCTTCCCATAAATGCAAGAATTCCAAATTCCTGCCATTTACCTAAATCTGTTAGATTCTAAACTTATATGCACCAATCCTCTTGTAATGATTATGCACAAATCCACAAAGACTTATCAACAGACATTACAGAGTATTCCAATGGAGATCATTCCATGGAAACGAAGTCTCAAATTCAAAGTACATTGCTTTGAACATCCTTCTTGCATTAAGTTTACTAATCTTACACAGATTTAATGAATAACTTCCACCTATGTGAACATTTCCATATTCTCATTTTGACTATCACTTCTGAACAAGAGTTGCCTCCTTTCATAATATGTCAATATGGTCTTTCCAAAATTAACACTATACTTCCAACTGTCCCTGAGCAACCAATCTTTGGTAAACCTTAGATTGTCCTCGACAATTGCTTAATCAAATTTGTCATATCTAGTTCTAGTACTTTTTCCCTCTTAATGCTCTAGGCATTTGGAAAAATTTAGAATAGATGAATATTATAGTACATGCAATCGACCCTATATCCGAAGCATATGGGACACGATTCATGATGTCTCACATAAAGACATGATACTAGACCAGTCTTTTTGCTATAATATTTCTATTTTTATTTGCCAAGTTCTCATAATTCAGATTATGAAAAGGGATGCCGTAATCATAATCGAATTTTAGAACGCAAATAATGGACCTATATATATATATATATATATATATATATATATATATATAGGCTTAGGTTATTCTATTCAAAGTAATTATTGTGTTATCGTATGCATAAATGTGGGCCAATCAAATTTACTTATTTTAAGAAAGTGATTAATATATATTATTGAATTAAATATAATTGAAAAATATCATCTTAATTAATTACAAAGGTAATTTAGTCAATTAATATAGATTTAATTAATGAAAATTGCATTTTTTTAGGGATCATAGATTCTATTAATTTTAAAATTCCGATTGTACGAATTATAATTCTTTTAATTCGGACATTCTGACAGAATATGTTTATGAGTATATTAAAAAATAAAAATATTCTTGAACCATAAATAATAAAAATATTCTTGAACCTATTTCTTGATCATGACTTTAAAAACTTCTTGTAGAATAACAAATTCTTGAACAATCAATTGACGAATAAAAACAAAAAATACATTATTTCTTATAGAATACGGGTAACAATTGTTAAGAATTACATTTATTGTTAAAGAATAAAACTAAAAAAACTTTCAAAACGGGAAAGAAAACATCAAATCTAACAACGACACTAATACATTCTAAAATAATAATGTTGCTTAGAATCACTTTCAGTTTTGTGGTCCGTTCTTCAAGCATGAACTTCTGTGAAAACAAAACAAAATTGTAGTTTAGATTCCAATAATGCATTAGCAAATGAAAAATAAAAAACTAAATTCCTTTGGAAAAAGATGTGGACTTGTGAATTGCACCAAAACCAATAAACAAGAATTGTAGAACATGCATAAATCAATGAGAAAATATCCATACTCCATTCCAACAGAATTGGAATTCATGATTCCATTCCAACAGAATTGGAATTCATGATTCCTTTTATCTTCTTCATGTCAATCTCAAGAATTGTACAACACATTTATGTTTTCTTTCCCTTAGATCACAATGTACTCCGTATCTATCAAAATTCAAAACTATACAATAAGATCATCAAGAGAATTGATTTTTTTTTATCTATTTAACTAGTAAAACCCAATCAAAAGAAACATACCCAATCAAAGAAGAGATCATCACCATTGTTCTTCCTTCTCTTTTCTGTCAAATGAATCAACCAAAGCCTTCCCAGTTCTTCTCCTTTGTTTTCCTGCCAAAGAACACCACTAGAGATGGGTAAATCAAGAGAGCAACAACACTCTCTTGGTCATTCTTGCTCATCACCGATTCCACAAGCAAAAGCCACTGGTTTCTTGCTTCCATTACCATTAAAAATTAAACAAAAAAAAGATGAAGAACGAAGGGGCTGCAGAAACAGCCCCCTGCTCACCTGTTTCACTGCAAATCCCCCTTCCCCTTTCTGTTTTAATGGTCAATAGCCCCATTTTCATGTTCTCTTCCTTGTAAAAACAACAAACCCAAACACCCATCTTTTCCCTCTATTGATTTCTGTGTAAAACAAGCAAAAAAAAAAAAAACAGAAACAACCCTCAAAAAAGCAGACGGAAATGCCGACTGCCACCACCCTAGACGACCCACTACCGCCCTACAACTCCCATCTGCACCCACCGAAGGCCACCACAACTTTGTTGCTTCTTCCTTCGGTCTAGCCAAACCCCAGAGGTCCTCCCTTTTCCCCTCGTTTTCTTCCTTCTCTGCTGTTCCCATCGACCGCATCGTCGCTCACCGTCGAAGGAAACCCACCGCTCGTCGATCACCGACGTCGGTCGTCGCTGCTACGGTGCCTCCGTTATTTCTGGAAAATTATAGGGAGTATTTGTGGAAGTTATTTCTCAAATTACCTAGTTACCCTTATTGATTTATTTAATTATTGTTTTTTCTATTAATTTTTGATTGGTCCACAATTATGCATACAATAATATAATACCTAGTTAGAATACCTGAACCTATATATATATATATATATATATATATATATATATATATATATATATATATATAAGAAGTTTATAAAGATATAATACACATTCATTTATTTGTAGAGTTTTTATTCCGGAAAATTTAATATTTCATTCAATTCCTTTAGTTACATTCAATGGATTCTTGAGGCAAAGTTAAACAAACCGATTCTAGCCAAAAGCGTAAATCCACACAAGGTAGTTCAAGTCAAGATATAATATATTTTTCTCAAGATTTTCAAAATCCAAACTATCAGCAATACCAAAACTACCAACAAAACCAAAACTACCCACACCAATATTTCCCGGTGTAACAATCTTACAACACATTTAGGCTTCTAGAGGAAAACCAGAGTTATAATCCATGGAATCAATTAGGGTTCTAGAAACCCAATTCCAATCTTCTCAACTCGAGAATTTCCAGTTTCGTGATGCTCAAAATGTAGAATCTAACAGTTCTAATGATCACCCAACTCCCGAAAGAAACGAAAAAGAAACTAGCGAGGAGTTGCAACCCGTTACTGAGAAAAACGTAACTATACACACCGCTAGAAACGAAAGAATTGGGTGGAACGCGAAGAGTTGGTTTTGGCTAGGGCATATGTCGATGTTTCTAAAGATAATCAACGCGTATATCAACTAAGGTTCGATGCATTTTGGGATAGGGTTGTAGAGCATTTTATTTTTCAAATGGGAAGTTCAGATCGGTCACGGCACCAAGTAAACTCAAAATGGAAAGACCTTCAAAAGAAATGTAATGCTTTCAACGACATCTATAACCGTAAAAAACAGTGTGGCTAGCGGGAGATCTGAGGCTGATGTTTTACAATCTTCACTAAGAGAGTATCGGAGACTACTAATCAGAAATGTTTTCGTCATTACCAAGCTTGGGAGTGGTTGAATGACAATGCGAAATGGGAACAAGTTACAAAAGCTAGTGAAGAATCCTCACATCCTTCTTCAAAACGAACCAAAACATCTTCATCCAATGCCTACACATCATCTTCCGATACATAGTATCCTCCTGGATTCTCCCTCCAACAACAACAATTGTTTAGTGTTGAAGACTCACCGCCTCATAGAAAAAGAAAAAGAAAGAAAGCGACATCGGCATCATCAACAGAAAATGAAATGTTTGATCTCGTCAAACAAATTGCTGGGATCAAGGCTGCAACCGAAACAGAGGTGGAACAAAGACAACAATATCGGGAACAAAAATTGCGAATTCTCGAAGCAAATGAAGAACGGAAAGCTCAACTGTTAGATCGGGAGATAGAGAACCAACATATGAAGTATTTTCTCCGACCACATGATCATTTGACTGGAGGTCTTTTACGCACAGTGCTTTTGAAAGGGAACGACAAATTACAACTAAGTATGGGTGGGAGTTGGAGAACCCGTGAAGTTCAAAATGCCGGCATCATTTGATTGGAGAATCTTTTTCTTTATTATTATGTTTTTTATTTTTATTTTTCTTTTTATTAAGATTCTCCATATGTACCCTTGTTTCATTATCTATATATATTTATGCTTGTTTCATTATCTATATATATGTACTAATTATCTATATATATATATATATATATGTACTAATTATCTATATATATGTACTAGGTGTAAGACCAATTGTAACATCCTAAAAATTTAAGACTGGGTTCTTAAATTAATCAAGAAAATAAATGAAAGATGATTTATATAGTTAAATCATCAAAGATTAATCGTATCATTATTTGATATGAAGTTTTGAAAGTTATAAGTGAAAATAGTAACATTTTAAAGTTAAAGGGGTAAAAGTGTCCAATTTGCCAAGTTAGTTGACTAAAAGGTTGACTCAGTTAGTGGAACGGACTACTAAATTCATATAACGGATGGAGGAGGACTTGTTATGTCAACCTTTTATACAAATGTGAAAATAAATTGAAGTAATGGTAAATTTGACAAAGATTGTAAAGTTGAGGGACTAGTTTCGATAAATAGCAAACATTGTGACTAGTGTTAACATAGTCATTTGACTAATTAGATAAAATGAATTATTTTGGGGTCAAAGTTTGAAATATGTAAGTTCCCTTTTAGTTATTGATCAAATGGTGTTAAATATGAGAACAAGGAAGGTTAGGGGTCATTTCTGCCAATTGTCGAAAGTAGTCACTAGTTAGACGAGGTTCTCTTAATTTGAAGAGAGGAGAAACGTGATTAAGGGAAAGGAAGAAGGAAATGGTGATTTATATGAGACAAAGGAAGATTTAGAGTAGTTATTGAGGAATCAAGCTAGGAATTGAAGATATGAAGCAACATTAAGCTTGAGAGGTATACTTTCTCATCCTCTAACTCTATATTTCAAATTAAAGGTTTGGGGAAAAACCCCAATGTCAAAATTAGTTTGATTCATTGATTAGGGTTTTGGTTTCTAACCTTCATTGAGTTGTTTTGATGATCCCAATCTCAATCCAATCATCCCATTGTTGGATTTGAGGATTTAGGTGAAAACCCTCATGAACCCTAGAAATCCAAATTGGGGATTTCTTGTTTATATGTTAATTGGAATAGATTCTATGACCTAGATATTGTTTGATGACAATGAATCCAATTAGAATACCCAAACACATCAATGATGGTAGAATCATGTATAAGCTAGGATTGAAATGGATTTGGGGACAATATGATGAAACCAATGGAATCCTTTGTAGTTGAACAATTGTTGAGCAAATGAAGTTCATAACCATGAATGGATGCTATTAGAATTATTTGGATGAAAAGTACTAAATGTTGTTGATTATTGGATGAATATGGCGTTTGTGGTCAAAAGGGTATTTTGGGAAACGTATAGATTACTACATAAAGATTGACATCTAAGAAGTGAATGACATTCATGAATATGACTTGATACTATAGAGATGATATTGGAACACAAACATGAATGAATGCTAGTAAGGTTCTAGCTTTAATGATTGTTTTGACCCAAAGGGTAGATTGGGAAACATGGAATGGAATTGAGGATTCCATGGTTAGTTTAAATACTTGCAATGAGATTAATGGTGGTTTTATCTACTTGAAAACACCCAATGATGTATTAAATGATTTGGGACTAAGTCATATTAGTTAAAGAGTGTTTTTGGGAAACTTGATCTCTTAACCCATTCATTTGAGTGTTTGTAAGCATTATGAACTTGACGTTTTGATTGAGGACTTAATGAATTAAGTTGAATGTTTGACATGATAAAACATCCTCTAGTAGTGCTTGGAAACCTTTAAAAGTGTTATAAATGGTTACCTAAAAGACCAAAACCACCCAAGCAAGTTTAAGACTAAAAAAAGTGAGTTTTTGGGGGTGTTTGGGCTGCTACGGTACGCGACCCGCGTGGCCAGGCACGCGGCCCGCCCTCAGGCATCAGATTTCTCAACTCGACCAAAAATCTGAATTTTACTATTTTCTTCATAACTTTTGCATACGGACTCGGATTTGCACACGGTTTTCGCCTACATTCATATTTTTACATAAGGGATGAAATGAAACAATAAAATTTAGAATGAAACCTTGAGGGGTATTTTGGTCATGTTAATGACTTGTGTCCATGTTATATAGGTGTTGATTGAGAGTGTTTCTATAAGTAAAGGAACTAGAAGAATACTAGCTAGCCTACATGTGATTGAGGTAAGTACGTGTTGGAATTTTCCCACTTTGGGGTACATGGTAAAATGATTTTTATGATAAAGAAATATTAATTATTTGATATACTAAATGTTTTTGAAATGAAAGTATTAAATGCTTTTGAAAAGAATGTTTTGAAAGAATGCCTTGAAGGCAAGAATGTATCTGAAAGTAAATAATATTTTGGAAGATTGAATGTTTTGAAAATGTGTTTGAAATGTTTTGAAATATAGATTCTTTACTTTTGAAACGAGTTTATGAAACTAATGTACGAAATGTGCAAAGCATGGAAAGTAACGACAAGATATGTAAAGTAATGAAAATGAATGGAAAGTAATGAAAGGAATTGGAAAGCAATGAAATGAAAACTGTCCGGGCCATGAGTAAGAGGCACTAGAGGAATCTATCCAAAAGGGTGGCGCCTCCCCTTCGCGAGATACATGTCCTAATGGAAATGATGCCTTGGTGGATTGATTTGTTCTTTCCACCTTGGTCTAGAATTGGGAGTGGTTCCTTTATTGGACGTAGACCCTAAGTATAAAAATGGCAACGGTTTAATACCAGAATTAACCCTTAATGATAAAAGAAAATGAAATATGGAAATATGGCTTTTGAAATGAAATGAAAGGAAAGGAAATGATAAGATATGATACGATAAGATATGAAATGATATTTATGACATGTATGAAATGAGTTTTCCTTGAAACTGCTTGAAAATATTTTGTGGTCTAAAACTATATTTTTCAAAGATGAAATGTTTTGGTAAAAATGTGATAAATGTTTTGGGTCACAAACCCACGTAGCTCATGAGACATTATTGTCTTACGTATCTCTTTTTAATGTCATGTATCTCAGGTTACCTTTGAGGAGAGAGGATGATAGATGGAAGTTAGAAGTCAAGTTATAGAGAATGGAGTGGAACTTGATAAGTTCCTTATTATTTTGTATTGATGTCATTCTTATTTGCTTGCTATGGATTTATTGTTGCTTAATGGTAACACCCCATGTTTTAATTTATAAAGGTTTTTGTGGGACCGATTTTTGTTAAATGTGGGTTAATACCCGAATGTTTTCCAAACCATAGCATAAAAAGGTTTTAAAATTTTTGGGGTGTTACATAAGACCCATGTATTACATGGGTTCATTTAAAAAAAATTAAATATGAAATTCTAAACATTTAAGAAGTTTGAATTTATAAGAAAAATTAGAAAAATATTGAATTATTAAAATTAAAGTGTTTTTTCTCTTTTAAATTTAATCTAATGGGGTTTTAATTTAGAAATTTTGAAATTAGAAGGAAAGTCAATTAATGAAATTGATATGCATTTATTATTACATTTATTTCAGTTAATACATTTAATCAGTTATTATATGAAATTTAATAAAAATGAAAACAACCACAAAATGACATGTGGAAAAAATTTAATTGAAAATAACCACAAAATGACAAGTGGCGAAATCAATGAGAGTGTGGCATGTGGAAAAAAGATTTTCATTTATTAGAGTAGATGTTTGTTTCATTTTCTTTCTATCTTTTCTCTCTTTTCAAAATGAATTCAAACGTTCGGAAAATAGTAATGGAAGTTAATGATGATAGTTCATCATCTGAGGATGAACTTATCAACAACAAATTGTTACATGTATTGTCCCGTACTGCACAACTTCTTCAGAATAATGCTAGTTCAAGCAACATTCAAAGGAGAAACACAATCCACAAAGATCGTCTAGAGGCTGAACGACTACTGATCCGACATTATTTTGCGGATGATTCAATCTATGGTCACACGTATTTCTGTAAAAGGTTCCGTATGAGCAAAGGTTTGTTTATGTGACTTGTTGGTGATTTGGAGATGAATTATCCTTATTTTCAAACAACATGGGATGAAACAAATCAAAGAAGTTTCAGTGTGCTACAAAAATGCACATCAACAATACATCAATTAGCGAAGGGTAATAACCCAGACTCGTTAGATGAGCATCTGAATATTTCGGAAAGAACTTCTCGTGAAGCTCTTGAAAACTTTTGCTATGGTGTTGTCCAACATCCACTGACATTCAACTTTTGTATGAAGCTCATGAAGCTAGACATAGATTCCCTGGAATGCTTGGTAGTATTGACTGCACACATTGGAATTGGAGGAATTGTACAACGGAATTGAGAGGCTAATACATGAGGGGTGACCATCAGTATCCATCAATGATACTAGAAGTGGCGACGTCACAAGATTTATGGTTTAGGCATGCATTCTATGGTGTAGCCGGGTCGAACAATGGTTTAAACATGCCCTATCAATCACCACCGTTTGATGAGAAATATCATGGAACATGACCCGATTGTTCATTTTGTCTAAATGATGAACACTAATAACATAGTTACTATCTTGCGGATGGGATATATCCATCATGGACTGTATTTGTGAAGGCATATCCATATCTAGTAAACGAAAAAAATATACGGTTCAAGGTAGAACACAAATCAGCAAGAAAGGACGTAGAACGTGCTTTTGGGTTCCTTACAGGATGTTGGGACATATTAAAAATGTCTGCATGGGCTATGAAGGTGAAGAAAACAAAAAATATAATGTATGTTTGTATTATACTACACAATATGATATTGAAAGATAAGGGTGTTATGATATCTCCAGTGTATCAACCCGACCCTCCCACCGACAAAGTCGATGACTAAGAAATAATACATGAATTGTGCAATGCTGAAACCCACCACCAGCTTCTATCCGGTCTCACTGATCACATTGAACATGTCTACATTTCAACTATG